ACATGGGCACCCACCTCCACCTCCTCATTCATGGAGAAGGTTGTGCTGGTGTCTCCCCATGCTGGCTACATCTTCATCCAGACGGACAAGACCATCTACACCCCTGAGCACATGGGTACAGCCTCTGCGCACTTGGCCTGGAGCAGACATTGCCTCTCCCCCCAGCCTCCCCCAATGCCCAACGTCTCCCACCTGCCTAGGTCCCCCCACTGCCCAAGATTATAATGACTACAGCCCTCTCCAAACTCTACGCAACACTCAGCATCTTCCCTCCTCCTCCAGTTCAGTACCGGGTGCTCACTGTGAACCACAAGATGGATCCTGTGACCAGGACATTCACTCTGGACATCAAGGTGGCCTCTCCTGTTGGCAGGGTGGGTCCCAGGCACTGGGGTTATATCGTGTGCTGAGGGCCTGGGAGCATGAACAACCTGCCCGCTGTCCCCGCAGAACCCGGAAGGGATCACTGTGATCAGCCAGGATCTGCTGGCCAGCAGAGGTATCTTCGCGAGCTCCTTCCACCTCCCAGAGCTCATCAGGTGCCCTACTGGGAGCCAGATATATTCCCACTTCTGTCACCAGCTAACTGTGTGACAATGGTTCTAATTCAGTCCGGACCTCAATTTTCTCCTTCAGAAAATTAGGGAACTAGACCAGATGAACTCAAAAGTCCCTTCTCTATAATCTTGTGAGTTTATAGATTCACACAAATGTTTTTTTGAACTTTTATAGCCTTTGTTTTCCATGACTATGAAAATAAAATCTTAATGAAGAAATTTCCCAATACTAAATTTTAATTCACTTAATTTTACCATAAAACATTCTGCCCGTCTCTTTTGGGAAAGGCTATAATGAAAATCAAATGAAGGCGCGTGGCCAGAGTCACCAGGGGAGGAGCAAGACAGGGAGGGGTTAGGGCGAGGACGGTGAGTGGCTGAGGGTGTCCACTGCCTTTCCTCCGCCCAGTGCTCCCTTCTTTTGAGGTCCGGCTGATCCCAAAGAAGAGCTTCTTCTACCTCAGTGATGACTCTCTGTGTGTGGAGATCCAGGCCTGGTGAGTCCCCTCACTCTTAGCCTGGCCTGAGGACCAAGGACACCAAGAATTGGGTCACGTGTATAGCACTTGGGGCATCATGAAGGCACTTTCTGACACCCATCAGATATTCTGGGTCACCCTCATCGTCCCACGAGGTTGTACAGACCACGTCTGCCACCTGTGAGGTTGTATGGCCGTCCCTTCAGGCTTCTGGGGTTGTACAGGCCACCCTGTCTACCTAATAGAGCACCCCACATCTCATGGTGTGGACCACTTCGGAGGGTCCACAAGGTGGCACAGGCACCTTGTGAGGTGAGGTTACCCGGATCACCTCTGCAGAACTATGAAACTACAAATGCCATGTCCGCTGCCTGTGGGGTTTACTGACCATCCCCACAGCTCTATGAAGTTGTATAGGCCATGTTGTCCACCTAAGCTTGTCAGGGCCATGCCTGCCACTTCTTAACATCATACAGACCATTCCTGAAGCTTTATCATGCTGCGCAGGCCACCTCTGCCACCCCACGGGTTGTCCAGACTCCTATGTGGCTCCAAATCGTAGTACAATATACCTCTACCATCTCGTGAGTTTCACAAGCCACATCTACAACTCAACAAGGCTTTATGTAACATATGTGTCACCTCCCAGGATTTTGTGGGTCAGCAATGAAACCTTAGCTTCCAGGGGGCCGCCTCTGCCCCTCCCCAAGTTTCCCGGCCATCGTTGCAGCCCTCTGAGATCATACAGGCCATCTCTGCAGCCACGGGAGGTTGTGTGGTACTTCAGAGCCAGTGGAGTGTCTCTTTATCCCCCAGGTACATATTCAACAAGCCGGTGGACGGACATGCCCTGGCCATCTTCGGGGTGAAGCTGGGTTCCCGCCGGATCGCCATTCAAAGTTCTCTACAGAGGGTGGAGGTAACCAATTTGGACCCCTCCCCAGCCTCCTTTCCCCCCAACCCTCCTTCACTTCCCCACGAAACCACCTCCTCTCCTCTCTCCTGCCCTGAGAGCAGATCTCTAGAGGCGAGGGTCACGTCTCCCTCCAGAAGGACACGTTGATGGCTGCATTCCAAGGCCCAGAAGAGGACTTCATAGGGGCCTCGATCTATGTCAACGTCACCGTGTTCTCCTCAGGTGCTGCCCTCACCCAGGCCCACGGCTGAGTTCAGGACACTGTGTTCCTTCTCAGCCCAGACATTCCGCCCACGTGACCTCAGGTGGCCTCCTGCCTGCGTTTCCTCATCAGAGAAATGGGGAAATGTCAGAGGGCTGGCAGGAGTTGAACTTGTGTTGCTGTCTTTCCCTGTCATCATCTCCAACATGTGCCTCCCATACCTGCCGCCCTGCCACTCCCCCAAGAAATTAAATTTCCTCCACAGACCTCATGGTCCCCTCTCTCTACAGGGGGTGAGATGGTGCAGGCTGAGACCTCAGCGGTGAAGATCGCCCGGAGCCCATACAACATCAAGTTCACCAGGACACCCCAGTATTTCAAGCCAGGGATGCCCTTCCATTTTAGGGTCAGAGTCTGAGTTCACTCCGCCTAAGGACTCAGGGGGGCCCCCCCTCAAACAGCCACACCCCAGAAATAAAAATCCACATTGGACTCACCTGCCCCCAGTCTTTCTTAGAGTTGAGTCCATCATGCCCCAGATTAATCTCAAGGTTTCCTCAAGTCTTAACCCATGCCTTCCCAAAGCACAGAGAGGGCTCCATAATTTCTCTATGGGAGCTTAGGAGGCACAGTCAGGCTGGAACATGGTGCTTAAGGGTTTATCTTGAGGCTACATTTGCACGGCAAGCATGCTGTTTTCTCATACATTCATTTGGGGTGACCTTGAGATGTCTGATGGGCATTACTTTAGTCCCAGTCCTGCTCTGTTCCCCCTACCCAAGCCCTCCATGTCTCCTCCGACTGCTCCACCCCCAATTCCACCCTACCCTCACCCCACAGGCACACCAACACCCAGGGCTACCACCTATGGATTTGTGCAGCAATGCTCTAAGGGTGCCATTTACAAAGACTCTAGTGTGAATGGTATCCCTGGTGTTTGCTCAGTGCACAACTCGCACAGCAGTCCAAGGCAGTCCTATCCAGGTGGCCTTCACAGCTCGCACCTCTCACAGCAGCTGCCCCCAGGTCTGTCCTTTATCTCACCCCACACTCCTCCTCAGGTCTTCGTCTCAAATCCTGACGGGTCCCCAGCCTCCGGAGTTCTCGTTCGCTGCCAAGACCACAAAGTGTACACCTCACCCAGTGGGGTGGCCACTCTGACCATCAACACAGATGCACAGCTGAAGCAGCTCCCTATCCAGGTACCGATCCGATGGGGCAGAGGTGGTGGGGTTGTGTAAATGGAAAGGATTGAGAGTTAGTCGCCCATCAATCTCCCCAGGTGGTAACTGATGAGCATCTCCGGCCAGAGGATCAAGCATCAGCCAGGATGACTGCTTGGCCTTACTCAACTCAGGATGGGTCAGGGAACTTCCTGCACATAGAGGTGAAGACATCTGACACCGAAGTGGGCAGCAGCCTCCGGCTGAGCCTCCACACAAGGCATCTGAACCCCGCAGCCAAGGATCAGATCACTCACTTCACCATCCTGGTGAGGGACTAGGACCAGGGCTTGAGCCAAGGAATTCTTTCCCTGGAACAGTCTTGGGTAGCTGAGTTGGAGGAACTGTGAACATGGTGTGAAGGTGGGACCCATCTGGGGTAGGCTCAGGCCAACGAACGAAGCATGGGGACTGAGGACCTCTCTTGTGGGCTGGCCCTACCCTTCTTATCTTGGCTTCCCCTGTTTTTAAGGTCCTGAGTAAGGGTCAGATTGTGTCTACCAAACATCAATTAAAAAGTCAGGGGAGTGTCTACACGTCAGTCATCATTGATGTGACTTCAGAGATGCTGCCCTCCTTCCGCATCCTGGCCTTTTATTTACTGCCCAGAGGAACAGGCCAGAACCCTGAACTGGTAGCCGATTCCATATGGATTGATGTGAAAGACAGATGCATGGGGACGGTGAGCCAAACTCCTTAAAGTTGTACATCATTATCATAAAGCTCGGGAGAGGGTCTGTCCAAGTTCAAGGGCTCCCAGCCTAGGGGCAAGTGAGTGTAAGAGGAAGAGATGTGGCTTTAAAAGCTCAAGCTAGGACGTGGAGATGATGCAAGTAAATGTGTGGAGCTGGAATTGGTCTGGTGGAGTTCCCTAATGCTCCATCAGAGTTGTAGGCAACATGAACCTGAAAGTGAACTTGGGCCCCTGGCCAGTGTGGCTTAGTTGGTTGGGCATTGTCCCATGCACCAGGAGGTTGTTGGTTCAATTCCTGGTCAAGGGCACAAGCCCAGGTTACAGGCTCAATTCCCAGTAGCCAATCAATGTTGTGCTCTCACATCTACGTTTCCTCTTTCTCTCTCTCTCTCTCCCTCTCCCTCTCCCTCTCCCTCTCCCCTTCTTCCTCTCTCTTTGAAAATCAATAAACTAAAAAAAAAAAAGTGGACTTGGGGAAGCCCCTTGGCAGCCTATAAGCCCTTTTCATGACATATCTCTTTTTCCTGTCTCAGCTGAAGGTTGGCTTAAATCATGAAGACTCCTTCAGTTCTTTGGAGCCCAACAGCAAGGTGGACATAAAGGTGACAGGTGATGCAGAGGCCACAGTGGGGCTTGTGGCCGTGGACAAGGCTGTTTACGTCTTGAACAGCAAACACAAGCTCACACAGAAGAAGGTGAGTACATGTGCATTTGGGGTCAAAAGGTCGCCTGGACATTCTAGCTGGAGTTTCCTCATCTTCAGCTGTAAAACGCAACATCAACGGATGCAAGGACGCAAGTAGCTAGGGCACAGCATAGAGATTGGCAGGTGGTAAGAACTCAATCAATGGCAGATAGTGTGAGAATTATTACATGAGCCAGCAATGACAGTGCACTATTGCTCCTTCCCTGGAGGGTCATACAGGCTCCAAGTCCAGGTTCCTCTCTGGCCCCCCAGGTCTGGGATGTGGTGGAGGAACATGACATTGGCTGCACAGGTGGTAGTGGGAAAGACGGGCTTGCTGTGTTCAAGGATGCTGGGTTGGACCTGAAGATGAGCACAGGGATGGACACCTTGGCAAGCTCAGGTACAGGCAGGGGGTGGGAGGTGGGCAGGAGGGCGGCAGGGATGGAGGCAATGCTGTCTAGTGGTTAAGAACATGGGGTTTGACATCGAGCAGATGGGCTAAAATTCAGGATCTTGGCACTTACCATGGGCCAGTCACATTTCTTCTCTGAGTCTGAGTTTCTCTGTCCATAAAGTGGGGATAATAGTACAAGTAACTCACTCTGTCTTAGTTGAGGTATAGGTTTGTCCATATGAATCAGAGATAAAATAATAGCAGCTCAAATAAGATAGAAGTTTATTTCTCACTCAGTCACCATCCAGAGGTCATTCTGGGACTCAGGCTGCTTCTAGCTTATTGTTCTGCCATTTTCCAAAATAGCACTTCATCAGAACCTCATTCCAGGCAGGAGGATGAAGGGAAGAGGGAACGAGAGGACACTATTCTCACATTCATTGGCCAGAACTCAGTCACATAGCCCCACCTAGGCCCAAGGGACGTGTACTGGGAAGTGTACTGTTCATTCTGAGTGATATATATAAAGATGGAGGTTTAGTTGCTACAGATGAGAGGAGGAGGATGGAGACTGGGGACAACTAGCAGTGTGTTCTTTCGGTTATAAATAGTTATATCATGAGTTTCTGTCTACTGCAATCTATATGCACGATTCCACTGATAGAACTCTACGATTCCCATGATTGTACTCACTTTACATAGCTGGCGAAAGTAACCCCCAGCGCCCGGCTGGTGTTGCCCAGTGGCTGAGCGTTGACCTATGAACCAGGCGGTTACAGTTGGGTCCCCCATCAGGGCACATGCCAGATTGCAGGCTCGGTCCCCTGTAGGGGGAGTGCAGGAGGCCTGTCAATGATTCTCTCTTATCATTGATGGTTTCTATCTCTCTCCCTCTCTCTTCCTCTCTGAAATCAATTTTTAAAAAAATAATAATGCCCAGAGAGGTTGTGACTTGTTGAAGACTGCACAGCTTTTCCGTGGTGAATCTTAAGTATGAGGTACCCATGGAATACAATGAGGTGATGAGCATCACCCACGGGGCATGCAATACACTTCATCGAGGGTGTTGGTAATGATCTTGACAGTTGTCCTTATGCTTCCCTCTGGCCTCCAGACTGGCACTGCCCCCAGAGCCAACCTCCCAGCCGCCGCCGCCGCTCCCTGAAGAGCCTGGAGACCAAGAGGAACGCAGGTCAGAGCTAAAGCTGGATGTCCCCCTCTTGGCTCCCTGACCTACTGGATTCATCAGGGCTTAAAACAGCAAACTGAACCCATTCTAGGTACTTCACGCAGTCAGGGAGGGATTTAATCCTAGGAATTGGGTGCTTTCAACATTACTTGACTGGGCTATAGGCATGGAAAGTTGAAGGCTGGCTGCTCACTGGGACTCAGGATCACCCCCTGCAGTTCTTGCAATGCATGAAATCTCCGGAAACTTCTGACAATATTTCTCACGAGATAGTGGAACATGGAATTTTTCCCATTAAAAGACCACACAGACTGAGGCCCACTCCTTAGCTACGCTGCTGCAGGGGAAACGCTCTCTGTTCCTCTATCACAAGAGCATCTCGGGGGCCGAATCTAATTCCATCCAGAACTCCAGCAGCAAGAGAGTCTGGGAAACCTAGCTTTCCGAGGTCAGATGGAGGAGGGAATGTAGACAAATGGAGAAATCGGTGCTGAGTGCCAATGGGTAACGTTTAGCTCTGGGCCCGGCGTTCAAGGACGGTGGGAGGCACCACTGGCTGGTGTCAGAAGCATGTGTTCTATGAGCATTCGATTTTTCAGTCTCTTTGAGCCATGCTAGGAGTTGGTGGAACTAACTGCAAAGAAAATAAGTAAAGTGTAATAAAAACCAAGGTAAAACCCTATAATTTCCATATCAAAAATCATGCTAACCTTCTGGAGAGAGTTTGTAATATGAACTGCTGTTTTATTTATGGCACTGATCCGTTATACGGTTTCACTATGGATCTTCTAGCCGTGTTGTAAGGTGGACAACAAGATTTTTAAATTGCTATAATTATGGCGAGGTTTATGTTTTTTACAAATACATCACGAAAATTGGGAGCCGGAGTGGAACCTTTTAGACATAAACATGGCGATACCAATCTTGTCAAAAAGGAGGACACGGAGGAGGCGGGGCGGGGAGGGGAAGAGCAGCCGCCTGGAGTCTAGTCCCAGCCCTGCCACTGGGAGGTGTGTGGCCCTCGGCCAGGGAACTGACCCCCCTGCCACTCAGCTTCCCGATCAGAGCCCCCCATATGGGTTCAATGTGAGCTTTCAGGGGGAAGATACAGGCAAAGTGCCAGGACCCGCATCTGCCTGCGGGGATCCTGCTAAGCAAGGCCAAGTATGCATGCCCTGAGGCGGCTCGCTCCCAGTGTCCTCAGGCCCTGCTCAGCCCCTCCTCGTCCCTCTTAACCTGCCGGCAGTGAACAAGTTCAACACAGAGCTGGAGCGCAAGTGCTGTGAGGCTGGGCTCCGGGAGAACCCCGTGGGGCTGTCGTGCGAGGAGAGGACCCGGCATGTCCGCCCTGAGCCGGCCTGTGTCGCTGCGTTCCTGAGCTGCTGCCGTCTGTCTGCGGCCCTGACTCAGCAGGCCCTGCAGGAGGAGCTGCTTCTGGGGACATGTGAGGAGGACACAGCAGGAGGCACAGGGAGGGGGCCTCCACCAAAGGGCCTGGAGCCACGGGGGCCACGGGAACCTTGCCTGGGAGGACCGTGCCTCAGAGCTGCTGGGCCGACTGACCCAGGGAGAGAGGCGAAGGCGATCCCAGCCCACGTCTGCTCCCTGCAGCGGACGAGGATGACGAGGACTTCGAGGACATCTTCCTGGACGACCAGCCTGTGCGGACTTTGTTCCCTGAAAGTTGGCTCTGGAGGACGTTTACTCTGCCAAAAAGTGAATCGCGGTAGGAACACGACCCCTTTCCCCAGGGGCTGCCCCCCCCTCTCTGCGGCCCATCCATCCACGAGTAGACGTCCATCATGGCCAAGGCCCCCAGTGGTGCCACTGAGTTCTCAGCATGGCCCCATGACAGCACCCTCCCTGGATGGGAACGCGGGTCCCAGTGGTTCCCCCAAATGCCCCAAGGACAGGACAGCTGACCACAGTGCCATGCCTACCTGGCC